ATGATCAGAATTGTAGTGATTGATGGAGTTTTAATGGAGTTTGGAATGAAAATGCAATTTTGGAGTGAAGGAATCAAAGTTTAGTATGCAAGCTTGAAAAATCTCTAACCAATGCATGGAGTCACTCTAGGGCTTATATAGATGAGAATAGAAATGTCTAAAACCTTGGAGAACCTTCCATGAAGCTTCTAGAACTTCTCATGCAATGAGAGTTTGAATTTGTCATCTTGAGCAAATCTCATGCTATATCATGATATACCATGCAATCTCACTCAATTTCTCCTCAAATGATATGGTAAAATGAAAACAAAGCCTTACAAGTCCTTGTGTAGCATTTTCCCATCTTTCCTTTTGATGCCTTAAAGTGCAAGTAACAAATTTACAAAGCAACTCCAATTTTTAAGCCTAAACTCAAAAATGTGGCTAAACCATCGTTTTTAAAATGATGTTTCCAATCAAAATGATATATTGGATGACCCATTTTGGATTTGTAGATCTTCCAAACCAATTTCCAATTTCAACTTTTTCAACTTATAAGCCATTTACAAGCCATTTGAACCACTTTTAAAAATCCATGCTCTAGGCCTTTTCAACAATTCATGACCTTCTTTCTAGACTTAAAATCCCATTTTGAACAACTTTCATGTTTTGAGTTTTTTCATTTGAGGCTTGGAAATAGGAGATATGGCCTTTGCTTAAAAATGACCTATAACTGACAAATGACCAAAATACCCCTGTCTTGTTCCAACCATAAGTTGAGTTCCACAAATCCTATCAAGGAATTCTACCACTCAAATTAAAGCTAAGGACAAGCTCTACAACATTCATGTTGTGGGGAAGATGAGATATCAATCACATCTAGAGCTAACACTGCCTGGAAGATAGGGATCAAATTAGGGTTTTTCACTGACAATCCTTGGAAACCCTGACTTGAAACTTCTCAAACTCCTCAATCATGATGAGTTGGTCTAGGAATCATCTTTATAACACCTCTATGCATCATTCCATGATCTCATGGCCCTTGGATTAGGTCTCAACCTTCTCCAAATTTTCAGTTATCCTAGGGCTGACCCAGTCAAAACCCTAATTCTACCATTCATGGCTGAATCTTCTGAATTCTTGCATAATGACCTCTCTAGGCTCACAATGGCTTTCAAGACCTCTCATACACCTTCTCAAAGCATCAAGTTCATTCTCAAAGTCTCAGAATCATCTGAGGAGCACCCACAATTCTCAAGCTATGAGGCACACAACCCTGGTCTTACCCAATTCCTCTGAAGATCTTTTGAACTGTCTGATGAAGGTATCAACTTTCAAACTCTCAGTGAATAAATAATTGTTGGTCAAATTTTGGGGTGCAACAGGTACAAGCTAGTGAATGGTCTCATGTTATAAGAATAGCACATACACATCATGAACATAGAAATAAATGAGTTCAAACTCAAACAACAGTCATATTACAAACAAAACCAGATTTGGTATGGTGATGGCATATTTGGCTTGAAAAATGCAATTTTAAATTGAGATGAGGAAACAAGTGGAAACCGATCATACCAGCAATATACACACATCACAAACATAAAAATGAATGAGATCATACTTCGAAATTCAGGCTTATGCAAACAGAAATGAATTTGGCATGTTGATATTTATACAAAAATTATTTTGAAACATCTTGGTGGTACAGCAGGGTATTTGGCAAGTAATGAGATTCATGTCATAACAATGACACACACACATCACCAATATGCTAATAGATGAGATCATGCTCAAGAATCAGTTCAAAACAAAACCAAACAGAATATGGCATATTGAAGCTCATGAAATACAAAAAACCAACTCATTCAGGCAGCAGGCAAGATTATGGCAGTTGAGACAATTTGGCACCACATACAATCTTAAATCATGTAGAATAAACATTCTAGACACATGGATCAAGTAAAAACAAGCTGGAACAGAAAATGGCAAGTCGTTGGTATCATGAAGCCTTGAGAATGCAATGTGAAATTAGACAGCTGTTTTGAAAAAGCAGGGGCAGTTTGAACATGCAAATGCCACACACAACCTCTAAATATGCTAAATGATGTTTTCCAACTTAAAGATCACACACAAACTGCTCAAAATAAAAACTGGTATGCTGTTTCAAACATTTGACAGCAAAATAAACAAATAAACCTTACAGCTGGCCTTATTAACCAAATCTCATGCTTTTCATCATTTCAACAGGTTTCAAACAATACAAGTAAGACCAAATCAGAACAAACCAATAGTTTAAATACATGAGGTGAAACATTGCAGGCACATATCATTTTGACACAAAACTTATGACAATGGTATAGCAAATGAAGCAAGTATTACAACTGTGAAACAAAAGCTATCCTAGATTCATACATGACCTAGGGGGCAGGGGAACCTCATGAAATAGCTAACAAGCAATTCAAACATCATAGATAAACAAGGGCTGACAGATCTATGGCAAGCACAATAACATCTCATGTTTGGATCCCTAAAGCTAATCTTGTAGACAAAATCCTCAAAACAAGTTGTACACAACATCAAAGTTCAATATTGGCAACATATCATCAACAAATCATTCATAGATAATATACTTTAACAAAAACAAGCTAAAAAGCTAAGAAACCCAGAGATCTTCTTCTTTGGCAAAGATTTGGAGCTTTCTTCCTCTTGAAGCAATAAACTATCTTTCAAGACAGTTTGAGTTATGAACTTCCCAGCTGGTTTTTGAGACTTTGGACAGTTGAAATATGATATATATGAGGTGTTGGGAGTCTTGAGGTGGTAGGAAAGGCCTTAAGTAGAGACTTGGCTTCCAAAGTGCATAAAAGTCAACATATAAAGGTATGAAGGTTGACTTTTAGATTGATCAGTTTTTTGATGAAAATAATGGTGGGAACAGTTTCAAATGGCCATTTTAAGGGTGTATAGATGGTATTTGAAGTGTTTTGATGTTTGGGAAAAGAACTAGCATGAAAAGTGGAAAGTGGTGTTTTTGGTGATTTTGTGAACTCAACCAATTTCAACCAAGGAAAGGAATGAGAGAGCTATAAGTTTCTGTGTGTTCTTAATAGCTCTGGTGTGGTTTGTAACATAGAGAGAGGTCTCTATTTATAGGGAGAGCAAGGGTGAGGGCAACCTTGGCTTTTCCACATTTTGGAGGGAAATTATGAAGTTTTGAATGAATCTTGCCAAGATCTTGTGGCAGCTCTACACATCAATTCCATGGGAAAATACTGAGCAAAAATCAAGTGGGATGGGAGAGATGAGATGAATGAAGTGAAGCTAGGAGGGTAGGGGACTGCAGCTGCCCAATCTCTTTGAAAAGTTTTTCTTTCATGGCCTTTTAAATGATTATTTTAATGGCCACTTGCTCCAAGTTGCAAAAGCCTACCAATTCTTCACTTCTTTTGGTTTTTGAATTATCCAGGCTTCATAATATCAGAATAGAACATGATCCAATGGCTGAGGGTAGCCCAAGTTGATGAATTTTGAATTTTTGAAAGAATTGAAGTGGTGACTTCAAGTGTGAAAGCCCCAACTTCCATGATCCATAACTTTCTGCTCACAAATGCTATTGAGGAGTTCTGCCACAATTTAGAAAGCCCTCAAGTAGCTCTGCAACTTTTATGTTTTTGAGATTTCCAAATTCTAGATGGAACTAGGTTGAAAAACCCCTCCAATTTGCTGAAAAAATCACTTAAAAGGCCAAATAACTTAGAATTTTTCTAAGTTATTTCCCTTCTTGAAATGAATTTGGTCATAACTCCAAATCTATGCATTTTTTGATCATGTACCACTTTGGGACTTTTGTAGGAATTGTCAAGAGCTTTCCAGTGAGCTTTGAACCACTTCATTTGGATGTGTGGTTGATGAGTATGGTTTTTCCCCTTTCAAAACCCTAATTCCCGATTTTTGCAATTACTTCTTAACCCTTGATCCAATGGTCATGAAATTTTATGGGAAGGTGCAATATGACATAAGGAACATTTTTGACTCACATCTTGAAGTCAAATTCCTTATGGTTGAAGAGTTGACTTTTCGGTCAACCGTTCGATCAATTGGTGACTACCGAGTCGACTGTTGATGTTCCGGGTATCTTGAGGCCTTGAAACTTCTTGAGTTGACTTTACTAAGCCATAGGATTTTCATGGACCATAATCACACCATTGGAACCCTTTTTAATTCAAAAGTCAAACTACAGTTGACTTTTCCTGATCGAAAACCCTAATCGGGTATTCTGAACTGCACTGTTCTCAATTCCCGGGTAACAACCTCAAATTTGATTCATACACTACCCAATGTATTATATTTGATCTTGTTTATAGTTGAATCAATCCAACACATTGATTGATCACACCACCGAAGCCTCGATTTCTGACGGTACGGAACCCTGATTCATCTACATCTTGACAAAGATAAACTTGAAATGGGTTAAGGTTAGTTAATCAAATGAATATGACCCTAAAATGATGATGAGGATCTAAGAGCATCCACACTCATTATCCCCACTTTGGTTCTTTAGATGGGGTCCACATAATTTTTTATATTATATTTCACTTTAATATTTTCTAAACAACCCAACTACATTTTTCAAATATCCATGCAACTCATCTAAAACTCTAAAATGGGTTCCACCAAATCTCACAATATATCCAACATTTTAATTATATAAATAAATAATTAAAACAATTTAATTGAAATATATCAAAATACATTAAAAAATTATATATTTAAAAAATTATATATTTAAAAAATTATATATTTAAAAAATTATATATTAAAAAACACAATACATCACACAAATAATTAATTAAAAAATACATTAAAAATACATTATTAAAATAAGTTACTAGCACAATATACAATAAAAATATATGTGTGTGATAATTAATTTAAAAATACATTAAAAATACATTAAAAATACATTATTAAAATAAGTTACTAGCACAAAATACAATAAAAATATATATTTAAAATATTTTTCAATTTTTGTTATTCTCATGTCCATAACGTTGCCATATATGTTCTATCAAGTCTTGTTGAAGGTGTCGATGAACTTGTTTATCACGAATATCAAATCTTCTACGCATGAACTCTTGAAAATCAATATTAGAATCGTTCGACAATATTGTCGCATCATTACTCAAATGATCATAAGAAAAATCAAAATTTCCACCATATGTTGCACGTTCATCTTCAACAATCATGTTGTGTAATATGATGCATGTATTCATTATGCGCTGGAGTGTGTCTAAGTGCCAAGATCGTGCTGGATTGCGTATGATTGCAAATCGGGATTGAAGAACTCCAAATGCTCGTTCAATATCCTTTCTTGCCCCTTCTTGATGTTGGGCAAACAATTTTCTCTTATCCCCTTGTGGCATCGAGATACTTTTTACAAATGTGGCCCATTCAGGATAAATATCATCTGATAGATAATAGCCCTTGTTGTATTCAGTACGATTGATTGTATAATGAACCTCGGGAGCTCGTCCTTGCAGAACATCGTTGAAGGCATTGGATTGGTTCAACACATTAATATCGTTGTTTGAACCCGCTACCCCAAAGAATGCATGCCAAATCCATAAGTCTTGTGAAGCCACTGCTTCAAGCATAACAGTTGGTTTCCCATGATCGCCTCGAACATATTGTCCTTTCAATGCAACAGGACAATTTTTCCATTACCAATGCATGCAGTCAATGCTCCCTAACATACCTGGAAATCCTCGTGCCTCTCCCATTTGCATTAAGCGTTCAATGTCTTCGGCGTTTGGCCTTCGCAAATATTGTGCACCAAAGATGTTGATCACTCCTCGTGTAAACTTATCAACACATTTTAGTGTCGTGGTTTCACCAATTCTCAAATAGTCATCCACACTATCAGCAGATGTTCCATATGCCAGCATACGGATAACAGCAGTGCATTTTTGTAATGGTGAAAGACTTGCCCTACCTGTTGCGTCAACCATCATTCGAAAATACTCATCATGTTGACCTAGAGCTTCAACAATACGAAGGAACACATGTTTATGCATTCGGTACCTTCTACGAAACTGCTCATTTGTGTATACCGGAGTTTCTGAAAAATAATCTTTGAACAATCGTTCATGTCCCTCTTCACGATTCCTCTCTATATTCCTTCTTTGACGCCTAGGCCTTCTAGAGCTCGAGGCTTCTTCTTCCATAAACAACCTCACAAGTTCTTCATCCATGTCATCATTCATATAATCCATAAACATTTTTGCAATGTGGGAAGGATTGGAAGGATCCATGTGAAAAGAAGTTTGATATTTAGTAGAAGATGATAACAAATTGTAAAAAATGCAAGATGTTAATACTATTTATAAGACTACTTTGAATAACGACTAGTTTGAATAACGGCTAGTTGGACTTTGAATAACGGCTAGTTTGACTTTGAATAACGGCTAGTTTGAATAACGGCTAATTTGATTTTGAATACGTAATCATACTAATTAAGTTCATATTAATTAATTCCAAAATACATAATCTTACTAATTAATCCCAAAATACATAATCTTACTAATTAAGCCTAAAATACATAATCTTACTAATTAATCCCAAAATACATAATCTTACTAATTAAGCCTAAAATACATAATCTTACTAATTAATCCCAAAATACATAATCTTACTAATTAAGCCTAAAATACATAATCTTACTAATTAATCCCAAAATACATAATCTTACTAATTAAGCCTAAAATACATAATCATACTAATTAAGTCCATATTTTTCTCTAATCATGTCGCACAACATATCATGAGCTTGTAGTTGTCTTGTATCCATATTTGATGTATCTTTTGAGAGTATTTGCAGATCATTCATCTTCAATCTCTCCTCAGCATTCCCAGCCTTCTTAATCTTTGCATCAACCTTTTTTCTCTCTATCTCAACTTTTTCACCCTCAATGCGTGCATAGTCCCGTGCAAACATTGACATCAGATCAAAATTTTTTTTAAAGTCATCTTTCAAAGAATCATATTTGACATTGGGAGTAGAAGACATTTCCATAAGCTTTTCTTTCTCCTTCCTTTTGGCTGCCTTTTGACCGATTGGACGGCGAGACAAAGTAGGTGATGATGGATCGTGTTCGCTGCTCATTTGTGGATTAGAAGATGAAGAATATGCTCCTGAAGCTGAATTCTTTGTTCTTTTTGTAGAAGCTTCTGATGAACCTGCGAGCCATTTAGGTTCATCTTTCAATAATCTCCATGCAGCTTCAAAAGTAAACTTTTCACCTTCATCTTGGAAATAGATTTTATATGCCGCTTGCATGATATTGCTCTCGGAACTCCCACTTTGTTGTGTAGACACAGCTTGTTTGTAGCATCCAACAAACTTTTGAACAGATGGATTGATTTTATGCCATCGACATTTTAGTTGCGTCGGTTTCCTCTCTTTGTAGTTAATGTCACGATGCTTGTTGTAAGCTTCACCGATCCGCTTCCAAAAACTATCTCCTTTTTTATCAACCCCAACAATTGAATCTTTTGAAACATTGAGCCATGATTGAATGAGAATTTCATCCTCTTTTTGTTGGAACCTTTGTTTATGCGTATTCACAACACGTACGGATGCAACTTCTTCACCAAGGTTAACTGTTTCTAAGCTACCTTGAGTGCAAAATTGTGGTGTTTCATCTTCTTGATCATTTGGTTGCGCATCACTACTACCTATTTGAGCCCCATGAGGCATAATGGAGTTAGTTGATTGAGATGTAAATTGTTGATATTGATATGGATAAGGTGGTGGATGATATGAGTAATTTCCAAAGTGTGGATTATTTTGTGGATTTAGGATAAAAGGTGAGTTTTGAAAATTTGGATTATGGTGTGGATTTGAGATAAAAGGTGTATTTCTAAAATATGGATTACTTTGTTGATTTGGAATAGAAGGAGGACTATCACTATTTTGCATAAAATTAGACCAAGGGTTATGTTGATTGGGATCCATTGACAGATAAATGTGTAGAAGAAAAAATTTAAGATAAGATAAATTCAATAGTTCAAAGTTAGACTAGTTGTAAATGAAAATTGTAGTAAAATTAATAACCTATTTATAAGAATGAAAAATATTACCGTTAGTTTATTAATAAATTAAAATATAAATAATATAGTGATTAATTTATATATAATATAGTGATTAATTTAAAATATTAATAAATTAATAACCTATTTATGAGATAAATATTGCCATTATTTACTAAAATATAAATAATTTAGTGATTAATTTATAGCCGTTACAATTTAATATTTCAATTTAATATTAAATTATTTACTAAAATATTACTGCTGAATTATTTAAACTATTAAATTATTAAATTATTTACTAAAATATTACCGTTGAATTATTTAAATGATTAAATTATTAAATTATTTACTAAAATATTACCGTTACAAAGTATTTCAATTTAATATTAAAATATTTTAATTTAATATTGGCATGCAAATATACCATTGAATTATTCCAAAACAAAATATTACCGTTACATTTATTATTCTTGTCCAACATTTATTATTATTGTCCAACATTTATTATTCTTGTCCAGCATGGCACTTGTAGAACCGTTACTAAACCAGCCAACGTTGGCATATGTAGAACTTTATTATTTTACCAAATATCCATTATTACTGACATAGAACACTTTGTAAAATGTGTAAAACCATAAAAATTGGACTGATATTTATGCTCTAAGGGGTCAAAATTTGGGGTGCAACAAAACCTTTGCTTATTTGCATTCCTTGTGCTTGAGCCATTTTATCCATTCTTGGGTGAATCTTAATCTTGAGATAATCCTCTTGTTTGAAATGAGAGGCATACTTTGCTTGAGGGCAAGAAAATATATAGTTGGTGAGAGTTGTTAGATTCCAAACTTTTCTTATTTGATCTATCAAATGTTGGCATCCTTCATTCTTTTTTTTTTATGATTTGAATTGAATCGCTCTTGTTTTTTATGATATACTTCATTGTGTTAAAATATCTTGCTTGCTATGATGTGTGTGCTATTGTGTAGGAATTAGGCACAAAATAACAAGAGTAAGACACAAGACATGTGACAAGGAAACCAATTCAGCAGCAAAACGTCAAGAAGGTCGCATAGCGAACTTCCTAGCGAAGTTGCCCAGAAAAAACATCATCAAGTTCGCACAGTGAGATTGCTAGCGAAGGCCATTGGGAACATGACACTGTCCATACAGAGAGAAAAGGCATCTAAATTCACCGTTCGAAGGAGGTAGCGAAGGGTTCACTGGATCGAAGACCAAGAGAACACCCCCAGACCTGAGGCAGTAAGTATTTGGACAAGAGTTTGTTGTGCGAAGTTTATAGCGAAGCCTTCGCAATGCGAAGGATTGCTCGCACAACAAATATTTGGAAATATCTCATGGGTTGTTTAAATGTACATTGGCATTTCAAATGCCACTTTTGATTGTTCTGTAGGCGAACAAGATATTCGCACTGCGAATTTAACAGCTCAACAGCATGTCTATAAGTAGTTTGTGCCACTTTTTGCAAAAATATCTTTTCTTTTGTACTTTTCATAGTTTTGTATTTTTTAGCACAGAAACCCTAGTTTCTCCATTTTCATCATCTCTTAGCCATCTTTCGTAAAAAGAAGATGGATTCCCATCCAATCTCGATTATTCGACACGGATGTTGATCAACCTTCTTTCGAAACTTGTTGCTCAAGCTATCATGGAAATGGGTGGCTAAAACCCCTCTTGTGTCAAAGTTAGAAGTAGCTACTTTTGATTTTATGTATTCTTCTTTGTCTTTTGTATGTGAACAAGGCTTTGATCAATATAGATGAAGTTATTTGCTATCTTTTGTTATATCTATGGTTTGGATTGCTTTAGACATGAACTTTTCAAGTCTTGATCTAATTTCTTCATCTATCAACTATACAAACTCCAGTAAAGTTATTTAAGTATGGGCAACTGTTATACCCCAAATTTTGACCCTATATTTCATCATCATTCTAGAACCATAATACATTGCTTTGCTAAACCTAACCTAGTGCAAGTTGCTTTTTATTTTGTTTCGTCTGAATTAGGGTTTTGAATCAAGAGAATCAAGAGGATGTTTATTTGGTCATTCAATGTCTTGGATTGATAATCAAACTACCCAGTATGAATACAATAAAGAGGCCTTTCTCCATCAAGAATCAATTGCAAATTGGAGTCACCAGAAGTTCATAGAAGCTCATCTTCATTTGGTCACCAATTAGGGTTTTATCAGGAAAGTCAACTGTGTCTTTGAATTTTGATCAAAGCATGACCTCAATCCTTGAGATATGACTCAAGACACTCAAATACATCCTTGGAGTTATTTCATGGTGTTTTAAAGGTTCAATAATTCAATATTGTTGGAGATCACACAATTGAACTCATTTGATACATAAGCTTTTAACTACAAAGTCAACTCTTTAACTTTTGATATTTTTGGCCAAAATTGAACCCCCCAAGATAAATTTCATGGAAAAGTGTTTGATCAATGAGTTTGAGCATGAAAAATCAAGAATTGGAAGGTTTCTTTAAAAAGGGGCAAAGTGGAAGAATTGAAAATTTTCTAAGTATTGAGGAAAAACCCTAATTTTGTGCCAACTTTGAAAGGTCATAACTTTCAATATAGACCACTATTTTCTATGTTCCAAAGATCAAAATGAAGCCCTTGAAACATACTACAACTTTTTAATTGAAGGTAAATCTCCAAAAAGTGCATAGATTTTGAGTTATAAGGCCATCAAGTTTGTGAAAATCTTTCAACACTTAGAAATTTTTTCAAGGCAGTTTTATTCACAAAAAGCATCAATTTTTGGAGCCAGGTTTCACTTTGATGCATTGAGATTTAATAAATTCATTAAACGTGAACGTTTTAGAGCATGTTTGGTGATTTTAAAAAAGTACAAGAACTCCTCCATATCATTTTTGAGCTGAGAGTTTCGAAGAGGGAAAGTTGGCCCTCCATACTTGAAGTCTTGGCCATTTTCATGACAAATGCAAGTTGCAAAAGCAATTCAAACCTACAAAATACTTGATTATAGATCTATTAAATTGAAAATCTCACTTAAGTCAGACAAGTACACTTGCTTTTGGTGTATTATCCAAGTAATTATGACTTTGTTCAATGTTTCATTCCATTTTGGCACAAAGTTAACACTTCCATTTCCATAAAGGCACTTTAAAGACAAAGTCAACTTGCCTTGAGCCTTTCACATGTTGTTTTTGAAGAAACCACTTTCTTTTCACAAAA